GGTCCTGGATGGAGCCTTTAGAAAAGTCCCCTATGCTCAGAGATTTTGCACCTGTCCATTGGGAGAGATAGGAAGCCCAGAACAAACACTTGTTCTTTAGATGTCCCTTTTATGAAGAGGCACATAGTACGTTCATTGATCCCCTACTGATGAGGCTCGCCGACCTCCCGCAAAAGCAAAAATTTGACCTTTTGCTGTTAGGCAAAGATCAGAAGATGACCTGGATGGTTGCCAGATTCTGCATACAAATCTGTAGGTGCAGACCATTGCCCAACTCAAAATAGTCCAGCATGAAAATCCCCAAACTCGGTTCCATGGGTGACTCTGAGTCAACTCCCTGGGATAGTTTATTGTTGTACATTGTTTCTAAATTTATTGTTGTACATTGTTTTAATTGTCTGTTTTAACCATATTTGCACATCAGTTTCTAATGTTGTGAGTGTCCTCTATTTCAGAGGCTTCTACTCTGCAGCCTCTTATAGTTGTTTTAACTGCAAGTCTTTTAGTTCTTACGCTTTTACAGTTGTTTTAACTGTATGTTTTTATTTGTTTTTAGTTCTTATCTGTTTTAATTATCAGTTTTTATCCGCCCATTATCCGTGTTTAATCTTGTATTTTATTCAGGTGTTTTTATCCTATGCTTGTTTCTTTGTCCTTGTCTGCTCCAACATTTATCAGTTAAAAAAATCCTAACTGCTATTTTATTTATATGTTGTTTTTGTTTTTTTATCCTGGTCTGTGACTGTAATAAAGTTTATTCATTCATTCAATGGATTTACTTTGAGGAGGGCTGACGCTGGCTGTAACTCAAAATGATTTCAATATGAATGACCAGGAAATTTTGTTATGGACGCTCCCTGCCCCCTATAGCTGTTGACTGTGTGTGTGTGTGTGTGTGTGTGTGTTTTCACCCCCCAGGAGCCTTTGAAAGATCATGCTGCTATATTGCCCACCAAAGTGAGTCAGTGGTTGTGAATGTCAAGTAAGTGCTTACATTCTCTTTGTAAAAAAGGGGTGTGTGAGAGTCCCCTCAGCTTCTAATCCTTCCTAAGACCTGAGCCTGGAGGAAGCCTGCTAAAATTTACATAGCGATTTGGCCAACCTCTCAAATGGACATTCCCTTTTGCATTTGGATATTTTTATGTTCTAGGCCCCAATCATAGGATGAGTTCTGCTGGATCAGGTCAGTGAATGGCCCATTTAATCCAACATCCTGTTCGCAACCAGTTGCCCATGGGAAGCCAGCAAGCAGAAACCAAGTGCAACAGCCCTCTCCCCAGTTGTGATTCTCAGAAAGTCGTATTCAGGTGCATATTGCATCATCTGTAGCTTTTATTCAAGCACAGCCACTTTCAGGGAATGATCTGAAACCTCTGAACCTCTCCTACCCCTAGTGTGGACCGATGGGCTAGTTCATGGGTAGGCAAACTAAGGCACGGGGGCCAGATCCAGCACAATAATCTTCTCAATCCGGCCTGCGGATGGTCCGGGATTCAGCATGTTTTTACATGAGTAGAATGTGTGTGTCAGGGAACTGACATCGGAGCTAGAGGTGGAGGGGAGGCTCTCTAATGATGCTGGAGAAGGGCCCAGCAGGGAGAGAGGCAGCTCAGCAGATGGGGAAGCAATTCAGTGCAACACCAGGAATAAGGAGGGGCAGATGGGGGAATCGGAGAGAGGGCTCCCGGACTCTTCACTGGACACCAGCGGGGAGAGCACTGGTCCTCCGCTACCCACGCCCTCCCTGCGCAGAAGACTTCCGCGCAGAGAAAGTAGGAGGAGACTGGGTGTCAAACAACTTTTATGTTGGAAAAGGTTTAAGAAACGCCCACTGACGGATTCTGCTAGCTACTGAGGCAGCCACGAATTGAAGGGCTGTCCAGACAGAAAGGTTTAACAAGGCAACATAGCCAGGAGAGGCGGCAACTTACACACGAGCAACCCCATACCATTATAGCGTGCTTTAATTTAAAATGCATCTCTGGATTATTTGTGGGGCATAGGAATTCATTCAGTTTTTCCCCTTCAAAATATAGTCCGGCCCCACACAAGGTCTGAGGGACAGTGGACCGCCCCCCCTGATGAAAAAATTTGCTGACCCCTGGCCTCTAGTTTCATTTTCTCTCAGTTTCTTCCTTTTGCTTAAGTCTTAAATTCAGTTCTCCACATAAGCTTGCCTTTATAAAAGAGTCCTCATAAAAACTGTTTGAATTCTTGTTTCAATTCGCCCTTATTTTTGTATGTTATTTTCAAGAATATACATATGCATTTTTATGCCCACTTTACCCCAGTAAAGCATTTAGTTCTATACATTCCTCGGCTGGAAAACTGTGTCTGTTTCAAAGGATGATTGTGTTTCTGTTTGTGCACTGTGTACAGAAACTTCAAATTAGGTGTGTTTATCTGCAGAGGTGAACAGAACTAGAATTTCTTCCCCAATGCTATCCAAGGTGGAGCATGAAAACAAAGAGAGGAGCAAAATTCCTATAAAATCTTATAGAATCTCAGTCCACAACTATCATTTCTCTTTCTCCTCAGTGTCATACAGATATTTTTGTTTCATTTTAATCTAAGCAGAAGCAGACATCAAAATGGCATAGCACAGTTTGCAAGAATACCTCAGAATATACATAGGTAATCCTTAACCCTTCTTGGGATGCGGGTGGTGCTGTGGTCTAAACCACTAAGCCTAGGGCTTGCCGATTGGAAGGTCAGCAGTTCGAATCCCCACGACGGGGTGAGCTCCTGTTGCTCGGTCCCTGCTCCTGCCAACCTAGCAGTTTGAAAGCACGTCAAAGCGCAAGTAGATAAATAGGTACTGCTCCAGGGGCAAGGTAAACGGCGTTTCCGTGTGCTGCTCTGGTTTCACCAGAAGTGGCCTAGTCATGCTAGCCACATGACATGGAAAAACTGTCTGCAGACAAATGTCTCTCCCTTGGCCAGTAAAGTGAGATGAGCATCACAACCCCAGAGTCCTTCGCAACTGGACTTAACTGTCAGGAGTCCTTGACCTTTACCCCTTAACCCTATTGTTGTTTTCATGTTTCAGCTTTGCCTTATTTTTTTGGAGTTCTAGGGTTTGCCGTATGTCTGGAATTTCTCATACATATCCAAAATATTGCAATCGGCAGCAATGTCACGGTGGAAATTGACAAAATATCTAGGAAAATCAGCAACTTTTCTTTCCAGATTTCCACTGTTTTACTCTTAGTTGGAGATGAGCTGTGGCATTTATTTAGCTCCACAGTATACTAGTATAATCTGAGGGTGCTTTATTTTGATGAGAGAATTAAAAACAGTGGCCCTAAACTGGGAGATTAAAACAAAACCCAGATAGCTTGAAAATTCAAAGCAACATACCAGGGTTGGAAACCTCAGGGATGCGGGCTGAATGGAGCACTCTGTCCCTCAGAACTCACCCCAGATGACCACCTCCATAGTCCCTGTTTTGTGTGTGTGCGCGCGCGCACACACACACACACACACACACTTCATCTGCCTGGCTGGAATGTGCATATTTTGCAAAGTTGGAGGAATGTGTGGTGTTCATAGGAAGTAGCTGTGATGGTTCAAGGGGTTGCTCGTGCGTAAGCCGGTGCCCACACCTGGCTGGGTTGCCTAAGTGAACCTTTTCTGTCCGGACAGCCACTCACCCGTGGCTGTCTCAATCGCTGGCAGAATCCGTCATTGGGTGTTTCTTAAACTTCTTCCAGCATAGAAGTTCTTTCACGCCCGGTCGCCTCCTACTTTCCCTGCGCGGAAGCCTTCTGCGCAAGGAAGGCGTAGGCAGCGGAGGACCCTTTCTCCCCCCACTGGTCCCAGGCAAGGAGTCATGTGACTCCCTCTCAGATTACCCCATCTGCCCCCCTTCTCCACTGGAGCTGAGCTGATTCCCTTCCCCAGAAGATGGGCTGCCTCTCCCAATCCCGTGACGCTCTCTGGGATCCCTCTGGAGCTCTCTCTCTCCCTCCGGCACTGATGGCAGTTCCCTGACAGTAGCCTACGAGTACAAAGATAAACTTTGCATTTTATGTCTGCTTAGGCTCTGGTTCCACCCATCATGTAGTCCCCAGAAGGTTGCACAGACAGGAATTTGCCCCATGGGGTAAAAAAAAGACCCCCCCCACACACACCTTCAATATGCCATGAAGAAACATGCTCATTTTCTATGCAATGTACACTGTTGAATTTATAAAATCTCTCTCTTTCATGTAAGTTTCCGGTTAGCTCCTGAGCATCTGTATCCAACTCCGGTACTGGACTGCCGTACTGCTGCAATCCACTTTTTGAAGCATGCAAAGGAATACGGAGTGGACCCCAACCGAATTGCCATTGGAGGGGACAGTGGCGGGGGCACGATTGCTGCAGCTGTCTGTCAACAACTAGTGGCAAGGAAGGATCTCCCAAGAGTGCGAGCTCAGTTCTTGGTCTACCCTTTCCTCCAAGCAGTGGACTTCAATTTGCCTTCCTATCAGCAAAACCGTTCCATTCCTCTGTTGTTCAGGAAACGAGCTGTCAAACACGGTTTCAAGTATCTCACAGGGAAGATGATCAATGTAGACAGAATCATAAAGGGCGCCCATGTCTCTGCAGATATATGGCTGAAGCACCGGAAATGGATTAGTGCTGACAACATCCCAGAAGAGTTTAAGGGCAGGGGCTATGTCCCAGCAGTACCTCCTCCATTTTCTGAAAAGCTTCATGAACTCTGCAAACGAGGTTTTGAGACAATGTTTTCCCCCCTCTTAGCGGAGGATAACATCATCTGCCAGCTCCCTGAGACTTTCATTTTAACCTTTGAGTATGATCTTATCCGGGACGACGGACTGTTATACAAGAAACGTCTAGAGGACAATGGTGTGCCGGTGACATGGCATCATCTTCAGGATGGTTTCCATGGAATAACTGTATCTTTTGGCCTGGGGCCATTTGAATTTCCAGCTGCAAGGAAATGTTTGCAGCATGTAGCAGATTTCTTAAAAGGTATATAGAAATAAATGGCCCGTTTTGTCCTGCGCTGGTAGTCTTCCCCTTCTGTGCAGGCATATTCTTTTTCATGCCCTGCTCTCCCAATCATAACATTAAAAAAACTGAAAGTCAGATCAAATGTTTGGCACAGTCTAATTTATTAAAGTCAGTGTGCTGGACATAAGAAAAGCCTTCAGATTCAGGCCAATGGCCACACCTAGTCTAGCATACTGTTCTCAAAAATGACCAGGTAGATGCTGTCAAGAGTCCAGGTTCCCAGCTTGATAACACAGTAAGTGTAGGTAATTAAAAAGGAGGATTTATTGTAAATACAAACAGATAACTCTGGATGGCTCTAGCCAAGCCACCGGCATTATCACTCAAGATGACCCTTCTGAAGATTCCTTCTGGTGTCGACAGAAGATATTGAACTTTCGACCTTTACGTCTCTTATTTTGCTTCCTGTCTAGCAGCCCCCCAATTCGCCTCTGCCTTGGACTTTTTTGTCAGCTACAGCCTCTTCCTATTCCAAAAAACTGTGTGGCTGTTCAAGCCTTTTTGAGCTTCCTGAGACCTTTGGCTGTTTTCCAGCCCGCTCTCAGTTGTTCCCTTGGCAACTGGACGTCCAAGGTTAGAGGGAGTTGATGCTGGCAGCTGTGTGCTCTGCTCAGCCGGCATTGACTCCAAACTTCTCTGTTCCTGACTGTATTCAGCAGCCGGATGCAAAGTTACACTGGGAGCTGGCTCATTCCTGACAGATGCCTCTTGGGACACCCACAAGCAGTGCCTGAGAAAGGTCATTGCAGCTGACATTTGGAAGCATGCTGCCTTTAACTGTAGAGGAAGAACTTAGCCTTCTCTTTCATGAATTTGTCTAATCCTCTTTTAAGTACATCCATGTTCCTGACCACTACCCCTTGCAGTAGCCAGCTTCACAAGTTAACTGCATACTTCCTTCTCAAACCAGTAAGTAACAAATGCTTAGGAATTCTATCTGGCCACGAGGGTCTTTGCGAACTGGTTTGATGACAACTTAAGCTATGCCTGCTTTATTTTAATCAATAATGCTCTTTCCTTTCTACTTTCTTTTGTCTGTCCTGAATCTCCCAACACAGAGCGTCATAGGATGCCCCTGATAGTGTTAGTGAGAGAGAAGAGGAAAACTTCTTCCTCTTTGTCTTCCTCTGCTGTTGGACCCATTGATGGCCCCTGGTGGGCCATCTAGTGGGATGTAGGCATTTAAGTTCATTCATATATATATATAAAATTTACAATTTAGAATACTCATTTAAACATCCTTAAAATATCAATGACTCCACCTTCTTCTCTTTCCAAGGTTCATTTTGCATATCAGAAATCTCTGCATTTTTTACATAAACTAAACCATTCAGTATTCCATAATTACATCCATCAAAACTTATTTACACTGTTGAATTCATCTTAATGCTGGCAACGTTTCTAAGTGTACACAACCCTCCTATATATTCAATAAACATGTTCCAATCTTCTCTAAACAGATGTTCTTATTGTTCTTTTATTCTATATGTTAAGTTTGAAAGCTGCACAATATTCCATCAGCTTAAGTTGCCTCGCTTGTTTTCCATTTTTGGGCTAACAAAACACGGGCTGCAGTAGTGGCCAGCCAGCTAGCTAAGTTTTAAGCAGAGTAGACTCCTTGAAATTAATGGGCCTGAGTTACCCATATCCATTTTTGTCAGTGGGTCTTCCCTGGCTGTGATATAACATTGGATATAGCCTAGTGGGGATGCAGGTGGCACTGTGGGTAAAACCTCAGCGCCTAGGGCTTGCCGATCGCATGGTCGGCAGTTCGAATCCCCGTGGCGGGGTGAGCTCCCATCTTTCGGTCCCAGCTCCTGCCCACCTAGCAGTTCGAAAGCACCCCTAAGTGCAAGTAGATAAATAGGTACCGCTTTATAGCGGGAAGGTAAATGGCGTTTCCGTGTGCTGCACTGGTGCTGGCTCGCCAGAGCAGCTTCATCACGCTGGCCACGTGACCCGGAAGTGTCTCCGGACAGCGCTGGCCCCCGGACTCTTAAGTGAGATGGGCGCACAACCCTAGAGTCGGACACGACTGGCCCGTACGGGCAGGGGTACCTTTACCTTTACTTATAGCCTAATGAATATAGACATACCTTTGATCCCAAACGCCTTGCGAGTTGAATGTTTTGGCTTCTGAACGCCGCAAACCCAGAAGTGAGTGTCCCGGTTTGTGAACGTTCTTTGGAACCCGAATGTCCGACGCGGCTTCTGTGGCTTCCGATTGGCTGCAAGAGCTTCCTTGGTTTCCAAATGTTTTGGAAGTCGAACAGACTTCTGGAACAGATTCCGTTTGACTTCCAAGGTATGGCTGTATTGAACACATTGTCAGATTCTCTCTCTCTCTTCTTCTGAAATCCAGAAACTGTCAAAACAAAATTCCAACCACATCTGCAAGAGGTGAAACATTTAGCAATAAGAAGGAGCACTTGCGCAGAATGATTCCACGTGTGACATAAGTAAGACCTGTTGAGTAAACTGAACTCATTTCATTTCACCCACCATGGGGAGGCTTATAACCAAACCCAAGTTAGTATTTCAACTCTCTCCATATCAGGTCAACAAGCGAGGGAATGTTTGATCCCATTCTCCTGTGATCCACTACAGGTCAAACTTTCAAGGACCTTGAAATCACCTTGAAATGCAGTCCAGTTCATCATTGACAAATAGTGGGGAAGGAAGGGTGCAAAGTATACCATTGCAATGCTGTGGTTTGACTAACTTGGCCTTATCCCAGACAGTGGTGGAGGAACCCTCTCTGGCACCCGGGGTGGGACGCCAAGGGGCGGGGCAAACCGCCCAGCAGCACACATGTGACATCTGTATGAACTGTGCATGTGCAGCATCCCGTAGGGACTGCCCTCGGCCGCCCTACAGCTGGGGGGGAGGCAGCGGGCCATCATGTCACCCCCCGAGTGGTACCCGGGGCAGACCGCCCCCACCGCCCCCCTTCATATGCCCCTGATCCCAGAACAACTTAAATCCTGTTCATTGGAACCAATAATGGTTAGCCAGGGACAGAATTTCGAACCTGCTGCACACAAACTCTAAGACTGAGCTCTTAGGACCCTTGCTTCACCTAGCCTCTGGCTCTTCTGGTTACAGCAGATTACTGACTGGGGTTCCATTTAGATCTCATAAAACATGAGATATAAAAACCGGTCCCAAGGGCCTTTGAAATAAAGTCTGAGTAAAATTGGTGAAGCAGCAAAAGTTTACAGTGGTGCCCCACAAGATGAATGCCTCGCAAGACGAAAAACTCGCTAGACAAAAGAGTTTTCCGTTTTTTGAGTCGTTCCGCAAGACGAATTTCCCTATGGGCTTGCTTCGCAAGACGAAACGTCTTGCGATTTCTTGCGAGTTTGTTTCCTTTTTCTTAAAGCCGCTAAGCTGTTAATAGCCGCTAAGCCGCTAATAGCCGCTAAGCCGCTAATAGCCATGCTTCGCAAGACGAAAAAACTGTAAGACGAAGAGACTCGCGGAACAGATTAATTTCGTCTTGAGAGGCACCACTGTATTGATTACAAAAACATAGCTGCAAGAATGGGTGTCCAAAGGAGGCACATCTCAGGTCAGTACAACGCAGGCATTTATCCTTTCACGGAGCGCAAAGTTCCTTCCTCTGCCTGCCCACTGGGCAGGGGCCTGCAAAAGTTACAGCCTATCACGACTGCCTCAATAAAATACTAAATTCTCCTCCTTTGTTTACATCTCACCCTCTCCAGACCCTCGGCGCCCAATCCCCATGATTATCATTGTACAAATATGGTCAAAAGTCCCTTAACATTTGTCTATTCACATAAGTATTCTAAACACAAGTTGTTCTAGTTACACGTGTTACACCACTATTTGTTTCAAATGCAAGCATAACCGAGTTTTATATCTTATGAAGCTAAAAGGGCAAACCACATTTTGACCACCAGCTGTTCTAATCACAGGTGCAAACAGGCTTCGTGTCTAGGTCCCAACCACAGGCTATGTGACTTACGAACTTTTTAACCACGAATTTTGGCTAAATATGTGTTATCTGTTATCTTGTGACCTATCAGTCTCAGCATTCTTTCAGCAGTTGCAGCTTTCGCAAGGTCTGAAAAAGCAACACATTCCATTATCTTAAAAGGCAATATTCCTTGATATTCCTTACATAAAACCCCAGTTTTAAAACAGCTGCTTTGAGAGCCAGTTCATTTCCGGGCTCGATTCAGGGGGCTCAGGTAATAATAATAATAATAATAATAATAATAATAATAATAATTTATTATTTATACCCCGCCCATCTGGCTGAGTTTCCCCAGCCACTCTGGGCGGCTCCCAATCAAGTGTTAAAAACAGTACAGCGTTACATATTAAAAACTTCCCTGAACAGGGCTGCCTTAAGGTTAGTGCTTAAAGCCCTAAACGACTCAGGAACCCTATACCGTAAAGTCTGTTTCCTTCCCTACAGACCCTGTCAGGTGCTAAGGTTGCCAGAGGCAGCTCCCTTGGTTGTTCCACAACCCTTTGATGAGCATCTCTTAGCGTACGTTATGGTGTAGGAAATGAAACATCTGAGTGGGCGATGAAGCACAGAAGAAAAGCTCTCCAGTGGTCTCCTTCAAAAGAAACCCCATAACTGAAGTACTGCCATCCCTGGAATCTGCCCCCATTCAGGGAATGGTGAGTGGAAAACAAAATAGGTAGCCAAGTTCAAAGCCAGTTAGTTTAAAACGATTAACTGGAAAAACCAGGAATAAGTAAGGTTTACTTGTATTGTTTCAGTAATAGTAAAAACTCTAGTTGGTGAGTGATTCTTGCCTCCCTGCTTTTATTCTGGGTTGTTTAACTAATTATGGTATCTTGTTGTTATAATTATTGTATTTTCAGCCAGTTTTAAACTGCTGGTCTATGACCATAATAAGCTGATTGATTGAGGAATAAGTAAGGTTTAATGCAGTTCTATTCTGCAGTTTTGATTGACACCAAAAGAAGACTGAACATAGGAAGGAGATCTACAAAGTAGATCAAGATATACTGTATTAGATTTCTGGGTGATCTGCAGGATAGTGGCATGGGCTTCTGGGCAAGTAAAACTGCAAGTTAAATAAGAGCAATAATTTATCCCATCCTTTACTTGAAAAACATGTGTATTGCTTGTGCTGCAAGCGTCTTATTTATTTTATATATTTTCTCTAACAAATACAAAGAAAAAGAAAAAAAGCTGAACCAACCTGTGCAAGAAGGGGAAGACATTTCAGGCAAAGGGGGGGGAGAGGAAAATTGAATATGGAATAGGAATGCAGATAGCCATTTTAAAATATTGTGTATTTCAAATAATGAAATCTAAAATATAAATAAACTTTCAAACACATTGTGGTGTATGATACTTTCTGTTTTCTTTATCTCCAGTTCAGCTGTTAGTTTAAGTTCACAGTCCTCAATAATTACAGATCAATGAAATCACTGGAAGAAATCAAGTTTACTTACAACAGATGAATGATTGTGTTTGGGAGATGTTAACAACAATTATTATTTTTTAAATAGACAGTTCAAAAGACTCTGGGACAACAATCCAAATTTATAATTCTAGGGAATTTAAGATACCTGTGCAAATATTCCAATATTTTTATCAGCAGTAACTGATGGTAGGGATTTTTTTTTCCTGTTTATTGAAAAGGAGAATGCTTTGTCTTGCAAGAGAAACTGTGGGTTTTAAGTTTTGCTTATTCATTTATCTACTTCATTGGGATATTTGTTTGTTAATTGGTGTTACTTCTATACAGATGCGCAGTTCGATAGGTTTGCTAAACCTTTTCATTGTAAGGGTGTGAGAACTAGATCTAATGTGCTTGATTAACAGCCCCATCTGCCTAACCTACCCTGCAGGGTTTCTATGAGGCTAAGCCATTGGAAAGCTGTGCAATCGCATTCCCTTTCATTGCAACTTATGCTTCTTCTGCCTCTTGTAAGGTGAGTGGGAGGTAGACCTTTAGCTTATCTGACAAGAGCAAGAAGGAAAGCACTAATTACCTGTTACAAATGAACACACCTTACATTACCAAATCCTCATCTCATAAAATTGCAACCAGCATTGCTCCTGTGCCGTGTAAACCCATTCAAGTTAAACAAAACAACTAACTTGGATCTGTTCATTTCAGGCCCACTGAATTGAATGCAACTTATATTCACAGGTCATGCCAAAAACATTACTCTTCCTCTGGATTCATGACATGTGTTGGATATGTCCCATCTTTACCTCATTGTTTTGTTAAGATGGTGTAACGGCCTTACCTCTTGGCAACACCTTCTTAATAGGCTTATATTTCAATCCAGATAGTCCAGGCTATCTTCCTCACTGTTGCATTAGAAAACCAGTTTGGGAGGCTGGGGAGTCCAATCACATACCAATGTATTTTGACTCCCTCCACCTGCAGCAAATCATTCCTATGATTTCTACAGACTTGCTAATGTCTTGGGTTGTGTTGGAGGAACAAGATTCCACTTCCCTCCCCTCATGGCCCCAAATGAGGTCAATCTAGAAGTTTTTATGCAACCCTTTCACATATAGAGGTGTGGCAGAGTTGATAAGAAACTAGCATCCATACCCTCACCCTTAGTCCCGCTTCCTTATATATCACAATTTTAGGTTCAATATCTACTACTCTTTCCAAAGTGGGACTCCATTGCCTGCAAGACTGTTATGAAAAAAATGTGTCACTTACAGGCTCACAACTCTTGGAACACTTGGAAGATTCAGGAATGGATTGGTTCGTACCCACCAATTTATCAGCATCTTAAAAGACCCTCTTGTGCACTGTATAACTACTGTAGCCCTGAAACCTTCAGAATATCTAGAAGTAGAAGCACCCAGAAAGGCAAGGTCTCTGTGATATATTCCCTGCTGATACAATCCAGTTCTTTCCACTTGTTACTTTGAAATCAGTGTAGGCAAACTTTAAGATTCAGAATGGTTTATGACAGGCATCCCCAACCTTTGGACCTGCAGTTGTTTTGGACTACAATTCCCATAATCCCAGACCACTTGTCCTGTTAGCTAGGGATCATGGGAGTTGTAGGCCAAAACATCTGGAGGGCTGCAGATTGGGGATGCCTGGTTTAAGATCTTTCTTTTTAAAAATGGTTTTCATTTATGTACATTTCAATAGTAATTTAACAATAGGGTCGGTGGAAGAGGACTGGAAAAAAATTTAAAATATATCTTCAAAAGCATTGTAATATTAAAGACTGTTAGAAAGATGTTGGAAAAAGAAAATTAGGCAGTTTTGGTAGATATGAGATAAAGGATTAAGTAAAAATGAGCTGATGAAATTGATGAAACAAAGGATGTTTAATTATAATATTTTAAATTAAAATACGTAAATGAAAATAAGGTTGGAAGGATTTGCTGAAAAAAACGATCTGAACTAGAATACAAAATTGGGAGGTGAGAGGAGGTCAAGGAAATAAGTAAAGGGAAAAAGTTATGTAAAGGTTTAATTTGCTTTTGTTCTATTTTAATTCAATGCTTTTTTATATCTTTTGTTCTGTTTTTATTGTCCTTTTTTTCTTTTTACTTTTTGCTCTGTTATGGCTATGGTTAAATTTATCTTTGTATTTTGTACTGTTTTTTTTTGTTTTTTTTTGTAACTTTAAACTTGGAATAAATATCATTTTTTAAAAAAATAGTAATTTAACAATAATTCAGACATTTCAAATCTCGACTTCCTTCCTCCTCTTTCTGCGGTTCATTTTTTAAATCACCATTCCCTGCATATTCTAAGTTATATTAAATCATTCTTTTATTCATCTATTGCGTGGACAGGCAGAGTCCCCCCAACATGAGGTGACCCCTGAGCAGAATAATGACTCAAGACAACATGCTATGGGATTAAAATTGGCCACAACTTTATTAAGTTTCAGATGTAGGGAGACCTTGGCTCAGGCATTGGGCGTTTATACTTCCCAGTCCCCAGCCAGGGATCTGGGAGACTTCAGGGTTATCCAGAATGTGTGGGGATTGGGCTTGCTCTGGAGAACATATGTTCAAGCAGAGAGAGCCCCCGCCCCCATTTCACTGCCTTTGGAGGGGAGAGCAATGACAAACTCTCGGCATATGGCCAATGCCTCCCCCTCAAGACCCCTTTAACGGGGAACCCTGGTATCACCACCGCAAGGGGGGTGTGGGTCACAACTTCATGCCCCCCCCCCCATTTAGGAAGATAGACTAAAGGATTCCACCCAAGGCCTGAAACTAGCAAAGTTGTGACGTTTTGCTACGGGGAAGGCAAAACCTGCCAAGGCAGGAAAATTCCTTTCCAGCCCTTCAAAAGTGACCCTGATGTAGCAGCGCCTGCGTACCTGTGGAGAAGAGGTTAACCTGCAAAATAAGACTTAACTGAGGGAGGGGAGGGTGGGAGAAGCTGTGGAGCCAACTTCCGCTTCGCAGGTAAGATTCACCTTCTATTGTGTGGGCAGGACGGTCCCTCCTCTTACCTGGCCAATCCCCTGGCAATGCCTCCCCAGGTGGGATTGGGCGATTGGCTGAGGTAGGAGGAGACCTCCAGGTATCCAGCCTGGGGAGTATGAAACCAGCCTAAACTACCAGGAGTCACACTGGGATCCAGGGGGCTGCGTGCGACCACACAAAAGGAGCCCCCATTTTATGTGGGAGCAGTCATTTTCATATATCTATACAGTGGTACCTCTGGATACGCACACTTCTGGTTGCGTATCCTTCAGGATGCGAACGCGGCAAACCCAGAAGTATTTTTCTGGGTTTCACCATGCGCGCATGTGCAGAAGTGCTCTACAGTGCTCTGCCGCACTGCGCGCATACGCAGAAACAGCACCTCCGGTTGTGAATTTCTTGGGATCCGACCGGAGCTCCAGAACGTATCCTGTGCGCAACTGGAAGTACCACTGTATTTTTTTCAAACTGCAGCTTGTCACAGTAGTCCTGCCAATGTTTTTTTCTGTTTTCAATTTGTTTGCAAATATTCAATATACCATTTCCATTCCTTTATAAAAAGTTTACTATCCTGATTTCATATTCTTACGGTAAGTTTTTCCATTCCTGCATAGTCCATAGGTTTTGTATACATTCTTCTTTTGTTGGGGTTCCATCATCTTTCCATTTTGGGGGCAAATAACATTCTCACAGATTTTCCAAGCAGAAGCTAGAAATGAAAGGCAGCACAACTTAGGTTCCAAAGATGACAAAAGTTTCAAATTTATTTGCATAGAAACACAAAGATGGCCAAGGACAATGTTTCCCCCAAAAAGCTTGATCTCCGCTTTTGGTCAGTACATCGTGCTCAGAATGGTGTAAATCCCTAAGTAGGCCATTTGAAATAGGCCTGGTGTCTTGCGCTAGCAGCAGTGGTAGATTTGGGACTCTCAAATTTCAGCGGCACCATGTGCAATGCTAAAATTCGGCGCCCCCTGCCTCTTGCACTCCCAGTGCAGCTGAACCAGTTTTGCTGCCCTATAACCACCTCTGCCAGCAGATTCTCCCTACACTGCCCTTCTAAGACCCTACATGTGTGGAAGGATGCACAAGGGCCAGGATAGACTTGGAAGGGACCTTGAGGAACATCTAGTTCAACCGCTGCAATGCTGGAATATGCACTTGTCTCATATGGGGATTGAACCTGCAACCTTGACATTGGGGCAACCCAGGAGATGGCCTGCCAGCAGGATCCACACACCCCACTCTTCCACAAGGAAAAGAGGAAAAAATTCATCAGCCTAGCATTGGGCAGATGCAAGGCGGGCCCGGGGTGTGTGTTTGTTGGAATCTTCCCAATCATCCAGAGGATTTAGTGTCACAATGCAAAAGCAATGCAATGCAGTTTGAAAGTTCAATACAAACCATTTACATACATAACTGAACACATAATTGCATTTATTTATTTATTCAGAAGAAAGAATAGTATTGCATAAGAAATTCCTGGAAAAACAAGGGTGTGATCAATTGCTACAGAATTGCGACGACAGAAGTTGGAATTGCATGACAGCAGAGAAAATAGTTGCCAGGAATCAGCCGGTTATTCAGTCCCTCCAAGGCTTCTCAGGAAGGAAGATGGATCTCTCCATGGTGATGCTGACATTTGTGATCTGCTTCCTCCTTTCCCAGGTGGTGCTCATTTATCGTGATGTCCGAAGAACAGATCTCCCTCCAGGAATCGATGGACCTTTCAGACTCTTCCTAATTTCCATTATGTTACACTCATCCTTGCGTATGGTAAGTCGGATGGACTTTGAACCTGGAGTTTCTGTGGGGCAGCTCAGTCGCTAGAGCATGAGACTCTTAATCTCAAGGTTATCTGCTCGAGCCCCACGTTGGGCAAAATATTCCTGCATTGCAGGGGGTTGGACTAGATGGCCCTTGTGGTCCCTTCCAGTTCTACAAATTCTGTGATTCTGCTATTTTTTTAGTTGCATGGGGGCTGGCCAGCCAGGAATGGTTCAAACAGGCAACACGCTTTAGGAGGTGCAACCCCACCCACCCCATCATAGAAAAATGGAATTGTAGAGCTGGAAGGGACCACAAACCCAAGCACCACTCTGCAAGGCAGGAATATTTCACCAAATGTGGAACTCGAACCCAGGACCCTAGGATTAAGAATCTCATGCTCTATCTACTGAGCTAGCCAGCCTGAAGGATTCCTGTATTATAACTAGAGATCTGTGCAAAAATTTCCAGTTCTATTTGTGAGCGCTTGTTTGTGGAGGGACATCTATCTCCTCCACAGTTCAAATACAGTGTTGATCATCAATGTGACTTCTGGAGGATGCTTTGTGCTATGACTTCTAGCATCCCCAGCTAGCAGGACCATGCTGGCAAAGACTGTCCTACACAGTGGTATAGCATGGGTTGCGAGCATCTGGGGCCATGTGTGGGGTGAGGTGGGGACTATGGAGCTGCCTAACAGTGTCCGCATCACCCAAGAGATCACAGCCTCAGAAACAAGAGAAGAAGATTCTCTCTGCTATCTAGAAAGTCACACAGAGAAGCCATTTTCAACAGAGCCCAGTGACAGAAGTATGCAGCTGTATTTAGGCAGCACTGGGTGTTGAAATTTTGCACCCAGGGCAACCGCACCTGTGGCCTCACCCCACGTTATGCCATTAGTCATGAAGTTCTATCTTGGGGCTCATCCACCTTTCTGTTTGTCCATTGCCTAGAAAGCAGTCGTTTCCCACTTTCCCCACACTATCCGAAAGTTTTGCCTTTGTCTCACCGCTTTCAGCTGATTCCCTGGTGGCACGCTGGAATGCGGAGTTAACCAGGGCTATTGACTGTGTGGCTCCGAAGCGCCCTCTCCGATTGCATGGAGCCCGGACAGCCCCGTGGTTTTCCTCGGAGCCGAGGGCGATGAAACAATTGTTGAGACGGCTAGAGCGCCAGTGGTGGAAAACTCATTCTGAATCAGACCGGACATCGAGCCTACCAAGTGGCAATGGCGATGGCGAAGAGGGCCTTCTTCGCTGCCTCCATTGCATCTGCAGAAAACAGCAGCAGGAGACTTTTGCAGGTGGTTCGCAATCTATCGGAACTACCTGTACCACCGGGGCCTGGTAGGGACCCCAAGATCTCCTGCAATGCTTTTGCAAATTTTTTTGCAGATAAAGTTGCTCAGATTCAGAAGGAGGTAGACTCCACCGTGGGAGCAGGGCCAGGGCGGGAGAGTGCTAGAGTTCTGTCTGGTCCTGTTACATGGGATCAGTTCCAATCTGTTACCTCCGAGGATGTGGACAGGCTGCTTGGACAAGTGAAACCGACCACCTGTCTCCTTGATCCTTGCCCATCCTGGCTGATAAAAGCAAGCCGGGAAGGGCTGGGCGATGGGCTCTGCGGGGTGGTGAATGCTTCCCTCTGTGAGGGAGCCTTCCCAGACCCGCTGAAAGAGGCGGTCATTAAACCGCTTCTTAAAAAAACATCTTTAGACCCAGCCAATTTGGCCAACTATAGCCCAGTCTCAAATCTACCATTCTTGGGCAAGGTGATTGAGCGGGTGGTTGCCGAACAACTCCAAGCACGCCTGGAGGATGCGGACCATTTGGATCCCTTCCAATCGGGATTCAGGCCTCACCATGGGACTGAAACTGCCTTGGTCGTGCTGGTTGATGATCTCCGTCGGGCTAGGGACAAAGGTGAGAGCTGTTTCCTAGTTCTGCTGGATCTCTAAGCGGCCTTTGACACCATCGACCATAACATCCTTCTGGACCGTCTAGAGGGGCTGGGAGCTGGGGGCACTGTTATACGGTGGTTCCACTCCTTTCTCCTGAGACGTGTCCAGAAAGTGGTGGTGGGGGATGAGTATTCAGACCCCTGGGCTCTCACTTGTGGGGTGCCTCAGGGTTCCGTCCTCTCCCCCATGCTTTTTAATATCTATATGAAGCCGCTGGGAGAGATCATCAGGGGGTTTGCACTGGGTGTTGATCAGTATGCAGATGACACCCAGCTCTACCTCTTCTTTAAATCAGAACCAGTGAAGGTCCTGTCTGAGTGCCTGGAGGCGGTTGGAGGATGGATGGTGGCTAACAGATTGAGGTTGAATCCTGACAAGACAGAAGTACTATTTTTGGGGGACAGGTGGGTGTGGGGGATTTCCTGGTCCTGAATGGGGTAACTGTGACCCTGAAGGACCAGGTGCGCAGCCTGGGAGTCATTTTGGACTCACAGCTGTCCATGGAGGCACAGGTTAACTCTGTGTCCAGGGCAGCTGTCTACCAGCTCCACCTGGTACACAGGCTAAGACCCTACCTGCCCGCAGACTGTCTCGCCAGAGTGGTGCATGCTCTAGTTATCTCCCGCTTGGACTACTGCAATGCGCTCTACGTGGGGCTACCTTTGAAGGTGACCCGAAAACTGCAATTAATCCAGACTTCAGCAGCTAGACTGGTGACTGGGAGTGGCCGCCGGGACCACATAACACCGGTTCTGAGAGATCTGCATTGGCTCCCAGTACGTTTCCGAGCATGATTCAAAGTATTGGTGCTGACCTTTAAAGCCCTAAACGGCCTCAGTCCAGTATACCTGAAGGAGCGTCTCCACTCCCATCCTTTAGCCCGGACACTGAGATCCAGCACCGAGGGCCTTCTGGCGGTTCCCTCATTGCGAGAAGTGAGGCTACAGGGAACCAGACAGTAGGCCTTCTCGGTAGTGGCGCCCGCCCTGTGGAACGCCCTCCCATCAGATGTCAAAGATATAAACAATTACCTGACATTCAGAAGACATCTTAAGGCAGCCCTGTTCAGGGAAGTTTTTAATATGTAACGCTGTACTGTTTTTAACACTTGATTGGGAGCCATCCACAGTGGCTGGGGAAACTCAGCCAGATGGGCGGGGTATAAATAATAAATTATTATTATTATTATTATTATTATTATTATTATTATTTCCCCCAGAAAACCTGAATGCTATTCCTATTCAGACATAAAGATTGGGTTTCTCTGGGGTGAGGGAGTGCCAGGGCAAATGCCCTTTGTTTGCTGAAAGCAGCTGTGCTCAGTGTCGTAGCGTGTGTTGCCGGTGCCCAGGGGGTTGTGCCTCCTGGTGGACTGGGCAGCTGGGGATGAGTTGCGTACTGGGGGCCCCCTTTGCCCTCGGGCACTTTCCCATACTACATCACAGGTCAATGACATGCATATTCCAACCATGCAAAAACCCTTGAGAAGAGTGCAGAGGATGACCAGTGAAGGAGGAGAGGCTGAGAGACGTGAAAATGGCATAGGAACTGATATTGAGGGCCAGAAAGAGATTTAGAGGACTTCAATAAGCCCCTGAGCCAATGGATTTCCACTGCTGCCTGGACTGAGTAACTCCAACAAGACAGCAAAAACAACAACACCCCACAGCAACAAATGTATGCCTGTATGATTTTCTGAACTACTACGTTTAATGTCACCATTAAAATGATGGTTCAGTCAGTAAAGCATGCGACTCTTAATCTCAGGGTCCTGAGTTTCAGCCCCATGTTGCACAAAAGTGATCCTCGTGGTCCTTTCCAACTCTATGATTCCAATCTTCTAACTTAAATGGATTGAAGTGAACTCAGCAAGCAAAAAAGTGGGAAGGGTTCTGCTTCGTCCACAAGTGTGGTCCTTTTGGACTAAAATGTGGACATCTCCCCCTCCCACCCAATGCTTAATAGGCTTAACAATTGGGTCTGATGCTGTTATGTGTTATGGCAGCCACCCTGCTTCTAAGCTAGATTTAAACAAACAAACATGCATGAATAAGTGGGAAATAGTATTGCCAGATCAAAATTTCAAAGAAAATGACTCTACATAACAAGGCAATCACAGTCCTTTGGAAGATGGGCTATTTATGGCAGAAACTGGAGATAGGTTTCCAACCATTTCCCTGTTAAAAGATCTAAGGCTTTTAAATCTGCATAAGGCAGATATCCAACAGGTGCAACTATTCCATTACTGTATTGGAAAAATCAAGACCAATTGAATCCCCTGCTTGTTATACCATTGTTACAAGAAACTGGGTTGCTGAGCGAGAGGATGTGGCAGCCCCCTTTCCGCATGATAGCAGCTTTACGCCTCCAACACCTATGCCAATGAGAAAGTCAACAGGTGCAGCCTTCCACCCTGCAATTTAGGCAGGGGGAAGCGTGCAAAAGTGGGGTGTCTACCTGTTAAAACCACAGTAACCAGCAAGAGAAGAAGGTGGGTTTGGTAACGGGGCTTGTGCACAGCAAGGGAGGGAGGCATGGGGTGTGTGTCTTGATTTTTCTAGCTTAGGCTTTAGTTTGATGATCCCATGCCTCCGCTAAAATCACCGGGCTTCCTTTCAGTAAAGGGGGTTCAGGTTTGCTACCACTCGCTCACTCAAGCGCTGCTGCTTCCAAGTAAGGATCGTAGCTTTGAAGCCCGCTCCTCTGCGCGCACGAACTCGGAACAACGGTTCTTGCTTCCGAGTAAAAACACACACACTCCACAGCCGGTTAGGGTCCTCCTCCTACCCTCTCTGCCTAGCAACTTCCCCTGTGGTTTTCCCTCCCACGGATCTCCCCCTTGTGCAAGTGAATCAGCAGCCGGGGGTGGAAAGGAGGTTCCCTCCGTCCATGCGCGGTTGGAGAGGCTCCAGCCCGGGGTGCTCGGTGCGTCTTTGCGCGCGGTGAAGTGAACAGGGGAAGCGCCCTCTCGAGTTCTCCCTCCTCTTGCCCTTCCCTCTCGCCCCTAAAAGGTGGGGATTGCCGAGATAGAGACGCTGCCCTATCTTCTTCTCATACAGAGGCTCCCTCCGACGCGGGACCCACCTGCTTGCAGCTCATCTGCCTGCCCGTGGCGCCTTGGGAGCTTCCAAAGCCCCGCCAGCCACGGTTGCGTGGCGAGTGGCCAGCATCCCAGCCGGCTCCACCGGCTCTTCACTCTTAGCCCTCACCGCCGCCGGGTGGACTCTCGCGTTGCGGTGGCTGGCCGCTGGATCATCCAGGCAGGGATTTCTGCAAGGGGCGTGCCTGGTTTGCGCCCCCCACCCATATTGTGCGCCCGGGGCAAGGGCTAGCTGATGGAGAATCTTCGGGGTGGGCGGACAAGAAGGATACTCTGAGAAAAATTTGTCTCACCTCTGATTAGAGGTGTGTAGGAGGTCACCTGGAGGCAGCAGTTGCTGCGGATGCAGCAATACCATTGCAACACCACGCAGAGATCTTGGAAGAAGGTAAGCGGTTTAAATAAAGCAACGCCGATGGAGTGTTGCAATGCCCTCGTGGAGATTATCCCGAGCAGGTGTAAAGCAAAGAGCATCCGCCGGAGGTCACTGTTCATTAAACTGAATGGGGAACAAAACAAATGAGCCCCAATCCGTCCCATTCCGTTGACATATTAGAGTGATAGGGGCATTCAAATTGCACGACCCCCCTCCCCCCCCCCAAAAAAAAATCTCCTGGAGTATCTCAACAGTTGTCAGTGATGAGAAAAATCCCTGTCCTCAGACTTGCAACCAAAAATGAAATGACACAAAAGGTAAAAGAGGCAGAGGGAGGAAGCAAGTTCGGAAATGTACGTAGTAATAATATTTTCATACCAAAATGTCACAGAAGACATTACAGACTGCATAAAGCTGTCTGAGTCTCCCATTGAAACCAAAGGGAAAATGAAAACTAAGGGGGGGGGGAATGAAAACAAAGAGAACATTTAATGAATGCAATTGGAACAAATGGAAATGAAATCAATTAAACTTCTGAATGAATCAACGAAGCATTTCTCACCCCACACTACTCCTACAAACAGACCTTTCGAAAACCTTATTAAACTGAAAGCTAACTATGCTTGATACTAGCTTCTGTTGCTTTTTTGTTTTTTTCTAAACAGGGATCTATTTTGGAGAAGTTGGGAATCTGTACAAAACCGACATTCCTTAAATGGAGTTCCTCTGCAATGCCAGCAGGGAGCGAGCCCAGACTCTACACTATTGACACAAAATTTGACAATGTGACTGTGAGGATTTATCAGCCAAAGGGCCTATCCACAGGACAGAGAGGAATTATCTACCTGTATGGAGGAGCTGGCTTATTCGGGAGCATAAGTGAGTCATTCTAATTTAACTTACAACCAGTGTGATCTGTGTGGGGCTTGATCTGGAAACTGCATCTCGTGCACAGTGCTGGGACCAGGTTGTTTAGTAGAACAACTGGACAAGCAGATATTACACCTGTGTTGAAGCCACTGCACTGGCTGCTGATCAACTACCGGCGCATGTTCAAGGTCTTGTGGTTAGGACCAGGACAACTCAGGAGCAGGTTACCTGAAAGGCCACTTATCCATTACTTAGGTCGTGTATGGAAATTCTAATCAGGGCACCGCATCCTACGGAATATCCAGGGCCGGCCCTAGATATTTTGCCACCTGAGGCAAAGCAGAACATGGCACACACACCCAACGCCCTGGCGCCTGTGGCAACTGGAGGTGACCTGGGGAAGCCCCAGCCCACTGAAGGCAGTGGAGGAGAAAAAAGGAGGCTGGATAGGAACAATGGCAGCAGCAGTATCCCTGCTCTTTCCAGGTGGTGCATGGGTGACAAGTGTTGGAGGCAGTAAGCAGTGAGCAGCACACTCCTGGGGGACTTCCCAGCTCTCCCCAGCCTGCTGCCTGAGGAGACTGCCTCACCCAAGCCTAATGGGCTGGCTGGCTCTGAGAATATCATGGGGCAGTGTCCCTCAAAACAGGCATTTTCTGTTTGTTGTTCTCCCTGTACTGTGAAATCCCCTTCCCTCTTCCACACAGGAAGCAGCTATCACCAGTTGCTACAGGCATCTTGTGAAGTCTTTTCCTTTTGCCCTGGCTTTCCCTAGCCCATGACTTTGACCCTGTAATTACAGTTGCCATGTGTCCTCTTTTTCCAGGACATGTCCTCTTTTTCATGGGTAGCGATCCATATCGATTCATAGTTAAAGGCAGAAGTTGGCAAAAGTGTCCTCTTTTTTGCTCTTCAAAATATGGCAACCCATATGTTTCTAACCTTTTATATGTTTTTATGTTGCTACTCTACTGGTTTTAGGCTGTATTTTAACGTTTTGATGTTTTTCGTTTCCTTTTTGGACTGTACACTGCTCAGGGATTTTTGGAATATTAAGTGGTTTATAAATGCTTTCTAATAATTATAGATAGATAGATAGATAGATAGATAGATAGATAGATAGATAGATATAGATATATATACATATTTTAAAGGAATTGGTGTGAAGAAAGAAGCTGTGATGGTAATGAAGGTATCATATGTAGCTTTCAGCCATATTTGCAGTCATCACTATAATTTAAATAAAGAGGTCATTTAGGCCGGAGAGAGATAAAGTAACCCTGAGAAGAAGAGTTCAATGTATATGGGGAAAAACTATTCCACATTTGGTATCTGCTAAGTGTGTGCATTTCAGAAAGGGATAAACAGATAAGATGATTTCACACACATGGTATCCTTTTTTCTATGTAGCTCAAGGTATAATTAATAAAGCACCTCTGATTAAATCCAATTCTTATCTCCTTACTTCCAGTCTCTTAGCACAATTGATGGATACCAAACTGGTACTATGGTGACCAGATTTCTAGCTAGTGAGAAAGGCTAGAAGCAAGTATTGCCAAATCGGTACCCTCCAGCCTTTGTGAATTACAACTCCTACTGGACCATTAGGATAGCTGGGGCTGATGGAAGTTGTAGTTCAATGACATCCAATGTAGTCCAATCTTTTCTGTGAACTGCCCTGAGACCTCTGGCTATAGGGTTGGTATATAAACTCAAATAATAATAATAATAATAATAATAATAATAATAATCTGAAGGGCAACCCCTGGCTCAGAGAGTCAGAAGCCAGATTTATCGGTTTGTCGTATAGTAGGAAGAAAGAAGAGGAACATGCAGGAAATGCCTAGGGGAGGGAAATAATCTTTGACAACGAGGGTATTAGTTTGACTTTGGGGCCTTGGGATCTGGATGGGTGGAAGGCTGGGTAAATAGGAAAGATGGGGATTCTCCTCTGGCTCGGATACAAACAGAGCCACAAAGAAGACTTGGGGTTGCGTCGTACTCGTCTCACATCCACATTAATGTAGAAATGTGCATGCCATTGTGTAAAGTATTAATACACTGAAGGTCTTTTTACTATCCAGAAGCTTATCGGATGCTGTGCCGCTACCTTTCCAGAGAAAGTGAATCAGTGCTTGTGTGTGTTGGGTAAGTCTACGTATTCCTGCATTCATCCTGGATATCCTGAACAGCTGATAAGTGTGGAAGCAGGTGACACCCCCCCCCAAATTACTCCCAAAAGCAGTGGGGGAATTTGCCACTACATGGTACAGGGTTAGCCAATGCAGTGTCCTCCACGTGTTGTTAAATGCCAAGTCCCATCAACCCCAGACAGCATGATTTATGGTCTGGGCTTATAAGAGTTGTCGTATAAGTTGTTGTGCGCGTGGGGCTGCAAGCAAGGGAGGGACTCCCATACATTGATGGTGGCAGTGTGACAAGCTTACTGGGTTTGGGCAAATTACTTTTGATGTCGTTTCTCATCTTGGTCTATCCCTGAACGCAAACCCTGCTCCAGCCCTTCTGCCACTAGATCCTGATCTAGATGCTCCCATTATACATAGACCACTGCCCATTTCCCAATGGAAAGGTCTCAAAGGTCCATCTATGATGGGATGGCAAGGAGAAGTCTGAGGTTTGGCTCTCTTCAAGCATCTTACATAGCACAGAAGGGTGCTGAGAGGCCAAACTAAACAGGACCCTTTTGACAAGGTATAGATCAGCTGTGTGAACAGATGTCAGTGGCAGACCACCAGGCACACATACTGAGTTATGAAGAGGCTGTGCCACATATAGATGAAGCCTTTGCAATGCTTCAGTGATTCAGTTCCGTGGCAGTGCCCATGCTCAAGCTTCCTTCTTATATGTGACTGGTGAACTCATGTAACACGGGTATTGTTGGAGTTGATCAATGTCATCTTATTATAAGACCAATTAATATTCTAGAAAATAAAAATAAAGAAAACAGAACCAGCCATTTGCCTCCTTGTCTCAAACTGTTTGCAGGCTTTGAGATCTCCAAGAGTCAACACAATATTGAAAAAGATACCCTATATATAAAGTGCTTTGACAATATCACCAGATTTATTAATCAGCAATACAAAGTAAATTGATGTTTCTGGTTTTTCTTCTTCTGTACCTGTTCCTGAAAGAGTAAGAGACAATTACAGTCTAGGTTTTGTACCCTGTTACACCTAATCTATTTCTACGGCAACTCACTGCTACAGTTAAATGGTGGAAACATGTATCTGACATATTGAATATTTTATGAAAGAATCCCATGCTCTAAGGCAGACATCATGTCTGCTGTGTAATTGCCCAGGGTGTAAAAATCATTTGCTCAGGATGGTAAATTTTAATAAAGTGAGCCTCTTTTGGTTTATGACTTGTGTACCACAGCAGTGCTAGAACCACAGCAGTGTTTACTGAAATTTAAAATTAAATTACATTGTGAAGTTGTTGACCTTTTGGAAGTTCATTAAGGCTTCCCATAAACATCTGGTTGGCTACTGTGAAAACTGGGTGCTGGACTAGAATGTCCCATAGCCTGAGCCATCAGTGCAGACATTACTCTATGCATTTTTCTACATGTCACTTGGATGGAGAACAGTCCTACCAAAGTTGGAGAAGGGCAGATTTCAAACAATGGCTATGTTTCATTTCACATATTGTTTTAGAAAGTGTGAACTAGACTGGTTTGTCTTTAACTAAGAATAGGATTGACTTTTTCCCCTGCCCCTTCTCTCCATCATCTTCTAGGCAACGTTTGGCTCCTAAGCACCGCTGTCCTGCACAAATCATGGACTGCATCACCGCCACTGAATACTTTTTGAAAAATGCAAGTGATTATGGGGTAGACCCTAATCGTATTGTCATTGCTGGTGACAGCACTGGGGCTGGAATGGTTCCCCTTGTCTGTCAACATCTGTTAACGAGAAAGGATCTCTCAAAGGTCAGAGCCCAGATCCTGCTCTACCCAAATATTCAAACACTGGACTACAACTTGCCATCTTATCAGCAAAACCGAAATGTCCCCATCCTGTTCACAAAATGGACTGCTGAATTTGACCTCAGGTTTATGAATGTGAAGCTAGCATATTTGGATCAAGTCCTGAAGGGGGGCCATGTTTCCGAAGAAATGAAGATGAAATACAAGAAATGGATCCATGCAGATCATATCCCGGATGAGTTTAAAGTCAGGGGCTACAAACCACCCCCGCCAGTCCCATTTTCAAAGGAGTTGCACGAAATGATGAAGCTTTCTTTCGATCCCAAGCACTGTGCTCTTCTAGTGGAAGATGACGTTGTGCGTCAGCTCCCCGAGACGTTTATGTTAACCTGTGAGTATGATGTGCTTAGGGATGATGGACTGCTATACAAAAAACGGTTGGAGGACAACGGTGTGCCCGTAACTTGGCACCATGCAAAGGATGGATTCCATGGGATTGTAAGTTCAATTGATTGGTTCTTTGAATGGCCATGTGCAAGGGTGGCAGCAGAGCATTTAACACGCTTCATAAAACAATTCTGATCAAAAATCTGTTCTCTTTCCCGCATAAAGACCGTTCATTTTACTGCATGCAGTGCACTTGAAGAAAATGTTATGAAAATGATGTACAGATTGTATTTAACACCAGCTAAACTGGCTAAAATGTACAAGACAAGAACTAACGAGTGCTGGAAATGTAAGGGAGGGGAAGGTATCTTTTACCACAAGTGGTGGAGGTAAAGGCTTTCTGGGAAATGACATATAACGAGTTAAAGAAAATTTTTAAAAATACTTTTTGTTAAAAAAAACCCAGAAGCCTTTTTTACTGGGTGTAGTGGGTGAAGAGATACTAAGGGAAGATAAAAGACTGTTTATGTATGCAACAACCGCGGCAAGAAATCTTTTAGCCCAAAAAATGGAAACAGCAAGAAGTACCAACGAAAAGGAGTGGCAGATGAGGCTGATGGACTTCGCAGAACTGGCGAAGCTGACAGGAAAAATCCAAAACCAGCACGATCAAGTATTCCAAAAGCATTGGAGTAAATTTATACGATATTTGAAAGATTATTGTAAGCAATTAACATCACTAGCAGGGTTGTCCAATGACCTGTAGTGAGAAATTTTCTACCTTTCTATTTTTATTTAAATTTTGAGACATTCTGTAATAAGTCTAATTAGAATTAGAATTGAAAAAACTTATAAATAGCAGTGATATAAAGGTTAATTTCGAAATCCATGAGGTGGAAGGGAAAGAAATTGACAGGCTCTAAAGAGCCAGGGCGATATAGTGGATAATGACGATGTGAATGTATAACATTAAATGGAATAATAATAATAATAATAATAATAATAATAATATACCTCTCATCCAACTTTAGGGTGCCTCGTTTAGGGCTGTAGAATGCGCATAATTCTGAAAAGGATCCCTTATTTGTGATTGCTTGTGCGTTGGAACCGGTCTGCCGATATAGTATGTTACATTTGGCCTAATCTCAGAGAGTTATATATAAAATGTTTGTCCTAAGCAGAGTTGTTGGCATCTGTCTTGAAAGACAAAGGAGTGCACCTCCGGTGATGAAGTCAAACCAAAGTGATCTCTCTGGGGCGCAAGCCTGGGCGATGCATGTGGAGGTCCTGGACCGCCGACGACAAGACCTCCCTCTCAGCCTCACTGATGTGGTCCAAAGGAAAGCAGAGCAATACGTTTGTCACCAGCTTGGCTGCAGGGGTTGCTGGAAAGAGGCGTAGAATGAGCCATCTAACCTAGGGTTACCAGATGTCCCCGGTTTCCGGGGACAGTCTCAAGATTTGCAAATCTGTCCCCGGACAAATTCCGTCCCTGGAATGTCCCCAGATTTGCAAATCTGTCTCCTGGAAACGTGGCAGCGGCAGCCTCAGCTCTGGCTGGCTTCAGGAGCTGCCCGCTGCCGTGGCACCCACCATTTTTCCTTGCCGGAACTTCCAGCCTGGAGCCAGACTGGTAGCGCAGTTGGTTCTGGCAGGCTTCAGGAGCTGCCCACTGCTGTGGTGCCCACCATTTTTCCTTGCTGGAACTTCCAGCGAGGAAAAATGGCAGGCACCACGGCAGCGAGCAGCGACCAGGCTGGCTCCGGGCTGTTGACTGCCGCTGCTGCCGTCACTGCCAAAGGGGAACCGGGGACGTCCGGCAGTACAGATCTTCTGTCCCCTCCCCCCTTTGTTTTGACTGATAGGGGAAGGCTCGGGATTTGCAGGCAGGCAGCCGTTGCCCAGTTTTTAAAAAACCCTCTGCGCATTTATGTTTCACAGGGTGTGAAAGAAGGGCTTTGCACCTTTATACAATATGCATGTGTTCTTGGGCCCAGGGTCTTTTGCCTCACCATCCCCACTACTGACTTCCTGTTGCTACTCAGCTTCAAAAAAAATAAAAAGTGTCCCTGGATTCATTGAAAAAAATCTGGTAACCATAATCTAACCATTTTATGGATGCCACTCAGGATTTGTGTAGCATTTACGGTACTCCTTAGCCTGTATTTGGGAACTTGGGGACAGTACTGAGCCAAACTTTTGTTCATTGGCAGCTGGGGTTTATGGGGAAACTTTAAGACCCCTAGGAATTATATGAGAACTTAGTCTCATACGAGTAACAGCTTCCTGCCTAGAAATTTACAGCCACCTTGTCACCTGAGGCTGGTATCATAAAGCTCAAGCATGCCCTACCTGCAGTCCATCTCTTTAATGTAACATTTGGCACCAGGACTTGTCACAGGGATGTTTCAGGCTAAAGTTCAAAATGAGTCTAGCCTCTTGTGCTCTTGAAAGGGTTAGGGCCATTGAGAGCTGTGTCTCAGGGAAATGTATAAAACATTCTTTAACTTGGTGGGGTTTTTTGTCCACTCAGTTCTCCTACAAATCTGCTTCTGCTGGGTTTTTCAGGCAGTGATGGACCAAGCCAATCTCACTTCAGGAGTGGGTTGAGGTTTATGAGAAAAGTGTATCATAATAGCTAGTAAAATCTTCCTTATTTTATTGTGTTCTGGTGCTGTGATTAAAATGTTCCTGAACCTCTAATTTGACTGATTTTAAAATAAATTATATATTTTGCATTGGGTTACAGAATCTTTCCTGTTTCTTCCTATCTTAAATAAATTCTGCTGCTATAGAAACAGTTGGTGTGAGTTATTGGAAATGGGCTTTGAGTCTGATTTCAGTGTTCTGAACAATTTGGGGGGTCATGGAGGTTTCTGGGGGAAAGTGTCCTTCCCATTTTTTGGCTGAGGATTTGCAGAAGGGAGAGAGAGCTGAGGCACATCTCAGTCCTAGAGGGTCCCTGAAAGTTGAGTTGTCTAATTTGGACTCCTGCTAGTCCACAAATCAGTAGGTGGTGGAAGGTATACCTTGGACTAAGGAGTATTAAAATTGATGGGAGAACCACTGTATAATAATAATAATAATAATAATAATAATAATAATAAATAAATAAATAAATAATAATAATTTTATATGTACCTTGCCCTCTCCGGCCGGAGCTCGGCTCAGGGCGGCTTACATCATAAAAACTAATACAGTATGCAAAGAACATAAGAACATAAAAACAGGCAATCAATTAATTAAAATACATCTTAAAATTAGTTCAGAACAAATTAAAATCTGGACAGATGGCAGTCGATGGGTAAAATTGAGAATGGTTAATATTCTCCAGGACCAAATGTTACCACTGGTCTTATAAAGGACCTGTGAGCGGGCTAGGAAGCGTCTTTAATGCTTGTTCTTATACAGAAAGGAAAGAATCAGACTGAACCCTGACCAAAGGCCTGGAGGAACAGTTCTGTCTTGCAGGCCCTGCAGAAAGATGTCAAATCTGGCAGGGCCCTGGTCTCTTGTGAGAGAGAGTTCCACCAGGCTGGGGCTACGGCCAAAAAGGCCCTGGCTCTGGTCGAGGCCAGTCTAATCTCCCTGGGATCTTCAGAGTGTTATTATTTGCAGACCTTAAGGTCCTCCGTGGGGCATACCAGGAGAGGCAGTTCTGTAGGTACGAGGGTCCTAGGCTGTATAGTGAGGCATCTGATCAAGACTTGTATTTTAAAATGAGCTTAAAAATATATATTTGCAGATGCTTGTGTGTTTCATGCCAGACATAAAGCAGCTGGCTGAGTACTCTGGCAGTTGTTTATCTTCTTGATCAAGGGCCCCCCTGATCTATAGCAGTACCTCAGGGTTGTAAAAGGAAATTACAGGCTGGGAGCAAAAGGTCATATTGACCATACAAATTACAGAATACAATCAAGCTGCAAAAACACTAATTAAGAGTTGGTAAATAGTGAAATTTATTGTTTAACAGAAAATACCATGTGCCTCCCATCAGACTCGAGCCACATCTTCCTAAGGTTAAAGGGCAAGAGCTAATAGAAACAGCAGCTGGCTTGAAAGGGGGGTGTAAATTTAAGGGGTTGCTTTTGGAAACTGTTTTTACTAAGTTCCTTTTACTTTGAAAAGGCCTTTTCTTCTAAAAATCTATATATGTTATGTATGAAATATATTGGCTTAAATGTAATTATGCAAAGGATTTAGAAAGTAAGAAATGTTAGATTCTTATGTTAGATTCTTATTTCATTGATGGTGTGTGAGAAGGTGAACCCAAGATCTCTGTTTAAGATAAAAATTAAAACCATGAGCCATCTGTTTTAGCCATCTGTTTTGGAGTGAAAGGGCAATAGGGCAATAGGGCAATAGGGCAAAGATGATCTGGTAATTAAGGTGCCTGGTCGAGGCAAATGTAAGATATATGGCTACTTGTCTGCCATTTATGGATAGAAGGAAATATAGCTCTTTGTCTCCCATAAAAGGTAATAGGAAATGGGTGTATCTTTTATGATTGGTTCTAGCAAACAGCCAATAGGAATTTCAACCAGGCTGATTGGACAGAGGCAGCCAAAGGAGGAGCAAGGGGGCTGGGCTGAGGAAATATAAGTGCTGGCCATCAGGGCTGGAGTGGGCAGAGCTTTGGTAACCATATACCACTGTGTCTCTCATTTATTTGTCTGACAAATAAATTATTATTTTAATTTCTCTATTGCTGAGTTGAATATTTCATTCCAGCTAAGCGTTAACCACAAGCAGGGTGCTACAATAGGGCTGTAAAGGTTAAAACCAGCACCTTAAAACTGATCCTGTACTCCACCAGGAGCCAGTGCAGCTGGTGTAGCACCAGTTGAATGTGCTCCCACAGCGATGACCCCGTGAGGAGTCTTGCCGTGGCATTCTTTATTTCACAACAAGAAAGGTGAAAAGAGGAGTTGGAAATCTTTAAAGAATCAGTAAACTATATATATTGAATTCAGTAGATATCACAAGCTTTTTAATAAGATGCTAAAATCATCAATTTACAGCTTAGGTTTACTTCAGCTGCTTAAGCTTATCACAGAGGAGTTAGATCTTAGGTTTCAACAATTTGTAGGTTACAAAACAGGCAAGTACTAACCTGCCTAATATCCTTCATATTCCCAACCTTTCGAAATTTCACACCTGAGGCTCCTCTATTAGACCCTGTCTGTCAGAGTAGAGGATCAGCACACACTCCTATTTTAACTGGTTTAGGATTATTCTTCTCTCACTAGAGAGAGATATCTCTTTCCTATTGAGCTGGGATGTAAGTAGAGCATTCCCTCACAACTCCACTTCTCCTCACCCAAAATCCAGCTTCCCAGTTCTTTCATGTCTGTATACCCTTGAAAGACAATAACCATGTATTTCAGGCTAATCGTCAGCCCAGAGACTGCCTTCTCTGAGTGTAAATCTTCCCTCTGGGCTCAGAGTTTATGCTGTTACCAAGCTGAATGCCAGGAACCAAAACTTTCTCTCCCTTTTCCCGCTCAGAGTCATGTCTTCACCTGCTTCTGGCTAGCTGTACCAATCAGAGGGAAGCTCTAGCTCAGCATATTGAGAGCTTTATCACTCTGGTGGAATTCTGCCTGTATTGTACCATCAAACTTTGCTTTGCCTTGACCATCCATCGCAGTAGTGGTTTCCCGCCTTGAGGAAAGGTCATCCACCTCCCCTTTTTTTCTTTAGGGGAATGAATCTGAGGATGCAGCATTCCCTGGGCTGTGCGTGAGAGGTGATATTGTGGCCACATAGTCCACAAACTGAGGCAATTAAACATTGAGGAAAAATGTGAAGAGGACCCAAAGCTGTGATCTCACCAGAATCCAACCATCCCGCTGTTTTTCTCTGGCAAAGTGTTACTTAAGAGGTATCGGAGGGGTGTATGTTTCAAAATTGATTAATGGTTATTATAGATAGTTAGAAGAGGATTTCCTCTACCTGACTATTTTGAGGAAAAGTTATAACGACGTATAAAAGTCCTAGCAGAGATTGGTAAATCGAACAGGTGATGTGTAGGGAGAAGGGGTGAATGTATTTTGAAATGATAGTTGGAAAAGTTATTGTACTGGAAGTAGCAAAGGAGTGAGGAAAATAGAGAGAACATCAGTATGGCGGAGGGAGTCAGCTTTTAAATTTGCATTAAATTTGCATCAATTTGTGTGAATTTGGTGGCAATTTGTTTAAAATTATGGGAAATAATAATAATAAATAATAATAATAATAATAATAATAATAATAATAATAATAATAATTTATTATTTGTACCCCGCCCATCTGGCTGGGCCTCCCCAGCCACTCTTAGATGGCTTCCATAGAAACCAAAAATACACTAAAATATCACAGATTAAAAACTTCCCTGAACAGGGCTGCCTTAAGATGTCTTCTGAATGTCAGGTAGTTATTTATCGCTTTGACATCTCATGGGAGGGCGTTCCACAGGGTGGGCGCCACTACCGAGAAGGCCCTCTGCCTGGTTCCCTGTAGCTTTGCTTCTCGCAATGAGGAAACCACCAGAAGGCCCTTGGCGCTGGACCTCAGCGTCCGGGCAGAACGATGGGGGTGGAGACACTCCTTCAGGTATACTGGGCCAAAGCCATTTAGGGCTTTAAAGGTCAACACCAGCACTTTGAATTGTGCTCGGAAAATGAATAATGGGGTAGGGGGAGTCAGCGCCCCTGCATGTTATCACTGCAATTTAAATTTACTGCTCAGTCTTATTCTGTGGTATGTTTTTGTTGTTGTTGTAGGTCCCTGTAAATTCCTTATTTGAGTTTAGATTTTCTGCATTGCTGGGTGGCTGTAGCTAATGCAAATACCTCGGGTTACAGATGCTTCAGGTTGCATTTTCCCGGGTTTCTGCAGTCGCGCATGAGCAGAAGCGCTAAATCACAGTTTGCACATGCTCAGAAGCACCCTGTGGGAGGGCTGGCCATATCATTAGTAAGCAGAGTCAAATGACCACATCAGGCAGCACACCAGGGGAGTGGCAGATATACAGATATACTAGGAAAATGAAAGTCCTTCCATAACCTGCCGTATTATCAGCAGTCCAAACAAATCTCTATCTCTGCCTAATCTATCTCATGTGGAAAGGGAGAGCCATGCACATCACCTTGAGCTCCTTGGAATAAAGTTGTGATGTAAAGGTGGTAAACAAATAATTAGTGACAATTCTGGATAAATAGAGTTTTAATTGGCTACAAGATTTTCAGGACTTTGGAACTTAGCAAAGGGCTTCGTGTTGAACCACTCTGACTTAGGAATTCAGGACTCTTTGTGACATCGTTGGAAGCCGTGATAGCAAGAGGGTTTTTGGGGTGATCCCAGCATTTTTGGGACAGTTGGAGGGTATGACATACATGAAGGAAATTAGTAGAGGTGAATTGAAATAAAACCAATAGCAATAACAGTAATGAGCAAGTTAGGGTACATAAGAGAGGACATCACAGAAAGATGAGAGGGGAGGGAGAAAGAAAAGTGAGCGCAAGAGAAAGGGGGAAATATGTGTGTGTGTGTGTGTGTTTGTCAAGTTTTAGCAGACGGCCATTTTACACATGAAAATGAAAATGAAAATGATAAAGATAAAGATAATAATAAATAATAGAGATTTACATTTCTACTCCATAACTGTTAAAGAATAAATCATTTTTCATGCCCCCCCTTTATGTTTATAAGCATGGATATGTAGAGCCTTATCAAGAAATTTAGATATTCTGAATATTTAGATATTCTCTGCATCAGAAAGCAAAAAAAAGTCTTTGCTAAGGATAACCTTCCCTTCTGTCATTTTAACAATAGGTGGAAAATTTGGAGAGGAAGAGAGAGAGATACAGAGGAAAGAGAGTTTAAAATGGGTCATGGGGCAATGTTATCTCCAATCCTTTCATTCCAATAGCTGATGAAAAGGATCCATCACACTTTAGTGATGCAGATTCTAGCTGTCACTTGAAGAGTTGGCATCACTTCTAAGTCCATTAAGACTCACGTCCAAACTCAGATAGCAGAAGAGAGCTGATTTCAGAGTGTATTGCAAGTTGTAACCAGGGTGTTATCTTATGTTATCTTAAATACACTATTCTAGAGGGGGTTTTTGTGTGTGTGTTTTTACACTGCCTAGATGGCTGTTGCAGTGAAGAAGCCCAAACACACACACACACACACACACACACACACCTTGTTGCATATTCTGCCTTTTTTCACTGCATCATTTGATTGCACCTCTTTAGCCTGCTGACACCCACAATATGTGTTTTCAGGACCTACCCTATGCCATTGTTGGTGAATTTGGGGGAGAGTTGTGCTACTGCCACAGCTAGCATTGAACCTGAGAAATGACTCGATGCTAAATGATATGGAAAAAATGGGCAATTGTTCCTCCCCACTGGAGAAATTGGTGCTGCTTCACTCCACCAAATATTTTTTTGTTTTGTTTTTGACAAAAAGGATGGAAAATTTGGAGAGACTTTGGGGCAGAGTGTCATCCACCATGAAGGGTCCTGCTTTTATTGATTGATTTATTGGGATAGTGGGGTTGCACCTCCTAAAACATTTTGACACACACACATGGTGGTGGCAAAAGCTGCAATGTTAAACTCTGCTTAATCCCTTTCAGATTAAAAGGGGCTAGGCAACTGCCCCCCAATCCCCACAATATTAAATAAAAAATTGATCCCTGTATGTTCTTGGTTCAATCTTTCATTGTCTCCGGGTTTAAAGCCCAATTTACCACACAAAAAAACGCCTGTGAAATAACCACGAACAACAGGAATCTGGCAGGTTCGCAGATACCAGGAAGGAAATTTGTTCTTCAGATATCATAAGAAATTAACACCACCAGGTTGGTTAGAAAACAAGTCAGCAGGACAATGGAGAGATCGATCTTCTTCCTTGAGAAGTCCAAATGAACTGAATGTTCTTTTTGCAGATGAGCTTAAGCAGATGGTCAGTTACACAACAGAGTTCGGTGTTGTAAGGTGTTTTGATTTCCAAGTATCATTTCTACCCTGATTACCGCTCTTTATAATTAGTTTATCGAATTGCACCATCGTTTCTCTGTCTAAGCAATTACTTGCTGTAGGCATTACACCTTCCATCTGAACTGCTCCCCAGAGTCAAAATGTCTTCCTACCATGCCTTCAGTCTAACTTGCACTGAAACGTAGTCCTACTGCACAGCTTTCCAACAATTAGCCTAACACCTCATTCTTACCCCAGTCTGTGAGTTGTGTCCAATTAAGTTACACCCAGAATAGACCCTGAAATCAATGCACCCTAAAATCAAAGAAGCTATGCAAGTCATGTCCATTAACTTCAATGGGTCTCCTCACAGTAGCACTAACATTGAATACAACCCCTGTTTTGGATTTGAACTTGACTTTTAATATATCATTGTGAGTTGGGAGCAGAGCTTGGCTGCATGCCTGAGCCCCCTTCTAATTGCTGGATCCAGCAAGAATTCAATTGTTGGAATAGCCAGGCCAGCTTCTTTGTGAATTAATGCCACGTAATTATGGGCTGTTATGGTAACAAAGGAAGTGTGACTGCAAGTAATAATTTTATTTATTTATTTATTTATTTATTTATTCATTCATTCCCCCAAAATCTGGCTGGGCAGCTTCCAACAAAATATTGAAAATATGATAAAACTAATTAAGGTGCACACTGTTTGTCGGAATCTCCACTCGGCCAAGCTGCTGAAGCTCGTCTTCCGGCCAAGTCTCTGGAATCGCCCTCCCGACAAATAATTAATGACCTCGAGCCTTTGATGAGGCTCCAAGGCACATTCTCATTCAGCAGAGAATCCAGTACAGGGAAGTGATGAGATTTATGGCTACATTGCAAAGAGTTTTATTTCTAAGCTATGCAGACAGAAAAGACAACCTCTCTCTATGAAAGCAGAGAGCAACTGAAACAAAGGAACAAAGGAACAAATGAAACAGGAAACCAGTAAACATCACATCTGTCTTCTGCCTCCGTGAGACTTCCAACAGCCTGGAAGGTCTCTGGAATGTAAACAGAGTCCTGTGACTCTAAGCAGCTGCTCAGTGGCAAACAGAAACTAACATCCTCTCCCTTTCTGTGAACACTACTGGGCAGCGTGTCAGTACAATCTCAGTACAAACCCAATTTCTGTACACAGGTACAGTGTTGATCCTTCGGAACAACCTTGGACAATAAATCAGCAGGAATTTCATTACCTGGCATGTAGGACACTGTTACGAGTCCTTTCTGAACACATTCTCTAGCATGTTGCAGCTTCAATTGCAAGTGCTTCGTGCTTTGCTTACATCCCTCAGAAGTCAGCAAAGCCAAACATGCTTTATTATCCTGATAAACCTGGATTGGACACTTTACAGGAATTCTCATGTCTTTACACAATTGTAACAACCATTCACAATCCACAAGACAGTGCATTCAGTTCAGCTTCACAAGTGCTTAAGCTAACTGTTGTTTGCTTCTTGCACGACCAATCAAATAGACCCTGGTTGTACATGTAGCAAACTCCAGACGTGCTTTTCCTGTCTGTAGTGTCACTTCCAAAACTCGCATCAGCAAATATCTCAAGACCACCAGACTTCTGATTGTTAAATCTCAGTCTGTAATGCATAGTGCCTTTCAAATAGTGTGCTATACGTTTCAGAACTTTCCAATCCTTAACAGTAGGATTGTTGACTTGCCTGCTTAGCAAATTACAGCTAACTGCAATGTCCGGTCTTGAACATCTGGCAATGAAATTTCGTTTGCCTAGCACAC